TGATAGGGTTCGAGCAGGCAATGTATGCAGTGATGGAGGGAGATCCTACTCCAACAGTGGATGTGTGTGTCACAGTCGGGAATGGTCGAGTGGCCAACAGCCTCACTGTTCCCATAAATGCCCTCCCCACATCCACTGCCACAGGTCAGGGATCAATGTTTTCTGCCTACCTTGAGCTACTTGAGGGAGAGTACAAAAGATTATGGGCATTTCTCTTTTTACTAAGTATCTTTACTGCAGAGGGGGAAGATTACGAGCTGGTGCAGTTGTGGTAGTTGGGTTCAGAGATACCAGCCTCACTGCCTCTGAGGGAGAGACTGTGAGGTTTGTCGTCCAGAAAGTCGGTCTGTTTGACTCAGAAATTGAGTTTCAACTGAGTGGGAAAGGGTTCAATGGAGGAGATCGTTTTCGTGCTGGTGGCGCAGACAGAGTCACCAATCTCAACTTCTTTTACACTTCCCCTGACAATGATGTTGGTCTTGAGGATGATGTCACAATCGTTATAAATTTGACCCTATCGACAATCAGTCCTCAGATAATTACGTTTAACACTGTACTCTCTATTGCTGTTCAGGATAATGACAGTGAGTTTATAATATTTTTTTGGAGTGTCTAAAACACTAAATTCACTTGAGGTGTAGCACCTTTTCGCTACACTTATATACTCATTTCAAAATGGACAGTAGTTACAGATTGCGATCAGGAAGTGTGTTTGCATTATATCTGTGGCCACAGTCTGGCCTTCCAACTATGCACTTCCAATGATTGATCTTGTCATTTCCCCAGGGCCAGTGACGGTGGGTTTTGAAGCAGATGGTGTGACAGTTGATGAGAATGGTGGTGATATAATGGTTCCAGTCAGTGTGGTTCAACAGATAGCTACTAATGCGTCAGTGGACGTGGAAGTTGTCAGTGGTACAGCTGTGGAACAAGAAGGTTAGTTTTAGTACATGTAACATAGCAGGTTTATGTAAGAACGTGATGCCACCATATTATCTTTATTAGACTATGTGAGGACCACTCTGTATCAGCTCAAGTTCTCCTCCAACGGAACAGTGTTTGTACCAGTTGGAATACTGGATGATGGGACCATTGAACTGACTGAGTCATTCACAGTTGTTCTGTCCAACCCCCAGCCTGCTGGTGGAGTGGAACTGGGGATCAGTGTTTTCACTGTCACCATTTCTGATGATGACCTGCGTGAGTCTCTCGTACCATAGCTCACCTTCTAGTCACAGTCGGTCACATTGGGCTGTTTGCTCATCTGTTTAGCATTAAACTACTAATAATTGTTAATTGCGAGAGTTCGGTTTGTTTGCATTATCTGAGGCCTGTAAAAGTGGGCTTTGACTATAAAACATGCACTTCTAAGTGGATAGGTCAGAGAGGGGTAGATTTATTAGAGTTTTAATGACTTTCCTATGTTCCACAATGACGTAAGGGATGAGGTTATGAGTGAGAGGTATCTTACTTCTCTCTCCAGGTATTGGTTTCGAGAGTATTGAGTACACAGTGGACGAGGGTGGCACACTGGAGGTAGTCGTGGTGAAATCTGCTCCGTTCGACTCTGTCATAGAATTCGAGGTGGCAGGGGAAATTTCTCTGCCGTCAGGGCTTTCCCGGATGGAGCATCCAGTCCTGAATCCATATCAATATTTTTTTCCAAATCCCTGATGATGTCATTGCTCTGGAACCACCGGAAACGATATCATTTACACTGACAGTTCTCGACACAAATCCACAGATATCTGTCGACCCAGACACTACCACTGTCACCATACTCGACAATGATGGTGAGTTTGGAGTGTGGCTTTGTTGTGATAGCTACGATGATGAAGGTCATTGGGCATTATGTGTGGTTCTGTTTTGAATTAAATACCTTCTCCCTCTGATTTGTCTTATAATTAAACTTTCCCCGCAGTACTTGTGGGCTTCGAAGCTGACATTCTCACGGTACCAGAGGATGCTGGGGATGTATTCATACCAGTCACCATCAGTCAGGAAGTCCCTGAGCCTATCACAGTCGACATACTATACCAGAATGGATCTGCCATGGAACAATCAGGTATAAAGTCAACAGTAAAGCATACACAGTTTTTCCAGAGTGTAAGTCGCAGCTCGTGATTTTCAAATATTAGGCCCTTTTTCGGTTGTGCGTGCACGAATAGCTTTCTTCACTGGGTTACCTGCAGCTCCTACATATTTAGCTATCTCATTACTCTCTTCCCCAAATGTATGATGTGTAGATTTCTTCATAACTGGCCCGTCAAGTCTTGCATTTACATCAAATGGAACTCGGAATATTCTGATTTCCATTGCTGACGACACTGAAGATGAACCAGACGAGACGTTCTCCATAGTTCTAGTGAACCCTGTGTCGGGAGCCACTGTCATTGTCTCCCCTGACACCATCACCATAACCATCATTGACAATGATGTCACTATCGTTGACAGTGATGATGAAACACCAACTGGTGAGCAAGTACATACTCCAGGCCTAGGCTAATACCTTATACCAAAAAGTTAAATCACGTAGTCTTTGACTCAGTATAATTATATGCAATTGCAAAGTGTACTGAATACACTTTTGTTTTCGAATAGGAGATAAAAATCCGCCTGTGATCATCATCATAGTAACTGTTGTGATAGCCGTGCTACTGATTGCTGCAATCATCATCATAACAATTCTCATTGGAATTATGAGGCAGAGGAAGAAGAGGCAAAGTAAACTTGCTCTCCCAACTCCAGAGCCCATCTATGATGATCCAGATTCATACTATTCTTCTGTCCTTGACAAAACCGAAAATAAAGCAAGTACCGAGATTTCACTGCAGACACAGCCAGAGACAAGTAAAAATTTAGCCATTCCTAACAAACAGCAAGAAAGTGTTACTTCCCCTATTGAGCAGCAAGAGAATGTTGCCTATGGTGCTCTTTCGAATCAGCAGCAGGAAAATGTTACTTCGCCTATTACGCAGCAATTACCTGGTGATCAGGCTGAGGAGCGATGCTAAAGACTATGAGATTAATGTGAATCACACTGAGTAGCTTTATACATTATAGCTGATTTTCTTCACCTTATGGCATGCATTACTATATAGCTGTAAGGATCTTATTGTAGCGAAGGTTCGCGTTAATAATAATTATTCCAAACTTCCAACTCGGTACAAGCAGTGTAATGCACGTGCATTGCTTGCCACTACACAGCAGGTTAATTACATTCTTCTTTAGTGCACCTCTCCTTGATCTTACCAAAATGTCCCATTTTTTAGACTCATACTTGCTGTTTGTCTCAATGTACTTGCTTACCCTTCTTTAGTTCTCTTACTTGACACTTTTTCATATGACATTTTGGCGAGATGAAGCTGAGGTATATTATACCTCAGCTTCATCTCACCAAAATGTCATCCTTTCTCTCAACTGTCACTAGATCATGGACAGAGAAGGGGGGCTGCAGGTCATGTCTGGTCTCAATGGAACAAGGCTACCAGGAAGTCCCAAACCTCTCTCAGTACAGCTCTACATTGGTGGCTTTCTGACTACTTTTGTATCTGCAGTTGTGCTAAATCCAATGGGATATAATTATACATGTAATTATCGTTCGGCCTTCAGGGAGTTAGCAAACAGAAATGTTGGGATTTATGGTTTTGGCTTGAATAAACAGTTTTTTGCATACATGTTAGCATTCATATTCTGTCTTGGCCCTCCTCCGTCCCTTCATGCAGAGATCTGTGCCAGTCTTGACTACTCCAATTGTCCAGATAGCTGACAGCATCACAGCTGACAAGACCCTCCGAGTAAGGATGTGTACAGTGCATCATAAAAGACGGTAGCCAGACAGTCGTTCGGAAACTTTTATGACGCATATGTTTAGTGTACTGTTTTAGGCATATTGTCCTGACAACGTCTCTCTATTTCAAGGCTGAGAAAACTTGTTATAAGCTACAGTAGAGGTGGTTTATTACTTACTCTGCATTTGTACTATGTATGTGCGGTGTGTACAGTCAGGGGAACTACTCATTCAAGAGCTGTTTTCCGTCTACGGACGAGTGTTTGATGTGCAGAAGCATCCAAACAGACGCAGTGTTGTCTTTGTCGTGAGTGCCTCATAGTCCCATACATGCAGTAACTTGCCCCGGAATCAACAATTTCCAGTTCTTCTATGTGAAGTGAATTATACTGTAGTGGAGGCAAAGTCACTGCGCATGTATGCCGAGGGTTAGTAACGCAGAAAATTGCTTGTCCCACTGTTCTGGTTGTTACCAACTTAAGAGGTATATAGTCATTTTGAGTTGCTTTTGTTTGTGTCCTGCATTACATGTGTGAGGAGGGAGGCAACAAGGCCATTTCCACCCTCAATGGCTTCACCTCCAACCAGACCAGCAAACCACTCATTGTCGAGCTCAGCCATGAGGTAGAGTAAAGAACTGTGTGTGTATACAGTGGAACCTCTGAACGAGGGACACTGTGGGGCCAACGATTTTGTCCCTTGTAGAGAGGTCGTCCCTATCTTGGAGGTCAAATAGCATAGGTTTGGGACATGTACAGAAGTCGTCCCTATCTCAGAGGGTCACTTATCGGAGGTTCCACCTCCTCTTTCTCACCATTATACTTGCACATCTTTGCAAACAACCAGATTTTATGTTTCTCTCTCTCTCTCTCTTTCCCTACTCCAGCCAACAGGAGCAGTCTCACTAAAAGTTTGATCCACAACAGCCACAAAACTCAGACCAACCAGTAGTTACTCACATAACCAACTACCCCACCTAAGTTCATTGTCATTGCATCATCATGATTAATCATCAACTTTTGATCACTTGTCAACAAGAATCACTTGCTTCATCAAAGAGACAATTTTACTTCATGTTTTGTGATTATAAAGCTCTCTGATTTTTTTTCACAATTAATAAAGGATGACCTGTTTGGTCAGGTTACGCGCAAGCTCTTAGCTGACGTTTGCGTTCGAGTCTTACGTAACGGCCTGTCTGCGCATGCGTGATATGATTTCGGGTGCTGCCGCCAGAGCGTCTGCTGCGAGGACAGACACTTTTGCAGAATGTCACTAACTCTTTGGGCCCACGCAACTGCCCTCCTTTATTGTACCTTCCTTCAGCAAGGTATGGCAACTAGTTAGTATATATGTTGACTTAGCTTCATTGTGACGATTTGCTTATTCATACAGCTACACGTTTGTAGCTAGCTATCGAGCGACCTACGGGATCACTGCTTACATGTATAGCTAAAGCTTTCTTTTCCAGTCACCGCATCCTCCACTGCTGTGTTAGTTCCAAGCTACACGTGTGCTGTAGGAAATTTTATATAACTGATGGGAGGGCTACAACTAGTTGTTTTCGCAGCACTACTATCGCAAAGTGTGTGTGGTTTTGTCTTTTCTTTTTGTTATTTTTGTTTTGTTTTGTTTTGTTCCTTTTTGTGTGTTTTGCCTTTTGTTTAGTATTTATTGTCACTCATTATCATCACAGTGTGTATGTACAAGAGACCAGGTGTATCCACTAATAGGCTCTGCACAGACTGAACCCCCCCAGTGCTTCACTGGACTTGGTTGTGTTTCTGGTAGTGTTGGGGAACAGATTTCAACATTGGCTTGCTGTAGCATGGCTGATACTCTCTCATTCAGACGTACAGTGGGCAGCGAATCATGCTTTACATGTTATGGTAAGCTATATTGACATCAGTGTTTGGAACTGAACTTTTTTGGTTTTATCAGGGTTTGGATGGGTGCAGAATATCAGCAGTGATTTGACATCAGCTGAGTCTCAAACTGAAGTAACTGCTGTGGAAGGAGAGACTGTCACTCTCACACTATTCTACACTAAGAATAATCCACCAAATTCCCTCCGTTTAGACTTTACCATTCAGACCTCGGGTTCGGCAACAGGTATTTAGTTATGTTTTGTTTGTTCTATTTATTAGATGTGACTGTTATACCGTTTTGCATGTTTTGATGATTACTATGTTTCTCCTACAGATGGAGTGGACTATGTTGTCACTCCAGATCCAGATAGTGTTTTCATGGACGAAGTGTCACTGCAGTTGGTCCCAGTCACAGTTAATGTCACTCTAGCCAGTGATGGTATAGGAGGAGAAGGAACTGAAGACATTGTACTCACTCTAGTTCAGCTTCCACCAATCGAACCCGAGCGTGTTCTCATCAACCCAACAGTCAGGATCATTGTCGAGGATAATGACAGTATGTATTGTAGTAGTGGGAGATTATTGTTACATTGAGATAATTCACACACCTACTATAGCCTTATTTGCAATCCAATCACCATAGTTTCGTAGGTTCCAGATTATAGAAAATAGCAAAAGAGAAGCCTTATACGTCATCTTCTATTCTATCTTGTCTTTTTTCTTCTTTCTTTCTCTGTATAGTCTACATATATAATACATAATTATTATGTTTAGTGACTGGTTTTTTGCCATATCGGAGTGTTCTGTGTGTACGTCTCAGAGTATCGTTTTTTCAAGCCACGACTTGGGTTCAACATGACATCCCTTCGGCTTTCCTTAAAAACTTTGTGAAGTCTCCAATGGTATTTTGAAGGCACACTGCTTTGTTTCTATTCAGATTCTGCCACTGCACCATCTTTAAATGGTATAGAGCACACTGACTGCACAAAGCTGTAAACAATGTGTAGTAGTGGGAAAATAAACAGCATGTGTGGGTGTGTGGTTTGCCTGCCTCCACTCTGTTTTGACAGCTAATGTAACCCTTCCACCTTGTGCTCTTGCTACACTAAGGGTTGTACACTACACAGGTAAGTTTTATCCTATAAGGAAAGCATAGTAAGTCGAGAGTTGAAGGAGAAGATCCAGCAAACCCTTGTCAAACTCACACATGCAATGGGCAGAAAGTAAGAAGGTCTAAAGGGATAATGTTGCCACAATCTATAACTAATGCAATTCGTTTGTTGGCGAGGGAAGTGGTGAGCAGTTACATTATTGCACGTTTTTAGAATCACATACAACATTACTGTATCATTAACCCTCGGCGCGCATGCGGAGCGAGGGTTACTGTAGTCGTTACCCTCGGCGCGCATGCGCAGCGAGGGTACTGTAGTTAACCCTCGGCGCGCATGCGCAGCGAGGGTTACAGTAGTTGGGTTTGTCTGTCTGTCTGTTACTCTTCATCTCACTTCTCGAGTGTTCTTTCGTCTCACAAAGGATACCACCTACCGAACGGGCAATGAAGGTCAGAAATGTCGAACGGTTTCCGTTGCAAAGCTAGAGCGCTTCCACCATTGTACGGCTAATGCGTAGTCGGCCATTTTTATCGCTGCGGAAAATGCGCATGCGCTTATATTTAGCACAGGACCGGGTCTGCTTGCTCTGTGTATTTTGAAGGCACAAGAAGTCACAACGAAGGGCGTGTATCGACTCTCGCATGCTAATCTACTACTGTACCTAGCCCGTGTCAGACTCTCTAGCTCTGCGCGCTCGCTATATACTAGCGGGAGACCGCATACTAATCTTCCGCGCATGCGCAGCTCGCCGAGGGTTTGCACTTCAGTGCTTTTCATTGAACTATCATCAGCATCGTAGACATAGTGTAGACAAAAACTGTCCTGTAGAGGCTGTAGAGGCGAGGGATGGCTGAGGCGACCACACCCCTTCATTCAGCTATCTCTTGCTCCCTGTGGCAAGCGCGACCGTGGCCGCGGCACACCGACCGGTCAAACGGCCCAGCGACCTATGAAACGAGTTTCTCTGAGGGAGAAAGAGCCACCATCACGACCTTGTTCGATTGCGGTAGCCTCAGAACAGAAACTCGCTCGAGAACCTAGCGAGTGCGCACGTGCGCATGCTATGTCGTCGCATTTCTCTCGCTGGAGGGCGACGGCTGCTACAAAGTCACAATAAAACACATAATGTGCGTCCTATCGTTCTATACATGACTTATGGGAACTCGGGTTGTGGTCTCGAGACCCATACAGCACTCGGCTGCGCCTAGCCTCGTGCTGTATGAGTCTCTCGACTACACCCCTCGTTCCCATAAATCAAGTATAGAACTCTAAACGCACATTATAATGAAAACCTTCTTTAGCTTCTAATGGTTGTGAAATCAAGCTGGGAACTCAACATTAATCCATCAGAATGTCCTATATATAAACTGACAGCTTTAATATTCAGTGCATCCTCAAACTTATCTTCAGGGGAGACAATCTGATGCGCGTTAGCCAGGACATATAAAAAGCGGACAGCCCTTGAAAAGCGCTAAGGTTGAGCCTGAAAAGAAGTAAAACCTCCTGAAGCGAACACCTCGAGTGCCTCCAACATTTCGCCACTTAAAACAGAGACTGAGATGGCATAAATGCGTCAGCCCATTTTGGCTTGAAAACACTCCGGAAGATGTATGATGGTCAACCTACAGGCGTCTGAGCGGTAGAATATAGCTACCCGAAGCTGTATATAATACGTTCCGAGCCCGACGAGGAAAACGGCTTCGAGTATGACATTCCGCTTCAGCACCAGTAGGTTAACTTTTTAAATACTTAGCTACACTTACATCGGCCATGGTCCGCACAAAAACAAAGATGCTCACTTCTCTGTTTAAGGGGGGTGGGGCTCGCTTCTTTCACACGCAATAATTATTCATGCGCGTGGGATGCACGGCACATTGCCGTGCCCTGAACAAGAGGTGGTGGGATTTATCCCACTGGTATATAGAGGTGATTTTCTTTCTTTCTATATACCTCTTTCTGACCTGATTAAATTAATTGGGTGAATGGCATGTCATGCCTTTGAAAACGAAAATGTGTTTATCTGAATAACCCAATGAAGAGAGCTATTCCTCCCAGCACTTATATCCTAAACACTCAATGAATAACTAAATAAGCAAGTGCACATGTACATGGAGTGGAAATCAAAGAAAAAGAGCATATATACCTGCAGAGAGTGAAAGTGGATACTGATACTGTAGTGAGTCTAATTACAGGCTGTTTCTAATGAGTCCACTTACATCTCTGACAGGGAACTCTTGAATGGGTGTGCCATCAATGGTGTAGGTAAACTTCCCCAGTGTTTCTCCCTCGTGGACCGGCTCTGTCTCATTCTTCCCCTGTTGGTGTTTTTGTGTGTTTGTTTATGTGTGAAAGTTTATGAACTTAAGTGTCAGCTCTAACCCAAAGTAAAAAATGTGTGCCACTTTTTTTATACATGTTTTATATTTGGTTGTGACGGTAGTATGCATGCAAAAAAGGTTAACCTACATCCTTACTGCCTTGTTGTGACAATATTAAACAAGATACACATACCTGGCTTGGGCCATATATATATACCTGCTGGCATCTTCTCCCCACCACCAGGTGGAGTAATAGTGACTTTTTAAGCCAATTATTGTGTGGGCAGCTAGGCATGTGGGTGGTTACCCTCGGCGCGCATGGGCAGCGAGGGTACAGTAGTTGGGTCTGTCTGTCTGTCTGTTTTTACTCTATATCTCACTCCTCGAACGTCTGTTCGTCCCAGAAACGATACCATCTAGCTACCCAACAGGCGACGAAGGTCAGAAAATAAAGGCGGAGAAGTAGAAATCTCGTAGTTTTCTCTGAAAATGCTCCGTTGCAAAGCTAGAGCACGAAAAAGCCAATATGCAAATACGCAACGGCTTACCGCGGTCTGATCGATCCGCGTGCTCTGCGACCTCGGAGGCACCAGAAGATGCAACGCAGGGCGTGTATCGCCTCTCGCATGCTGTCTAGTAGTGTATAGTTAGCCCGCGTCAGACTCTGCGCGAGATGGAAGCCAGAACTAAACCCAGCCCATTAATTAGTGATACAGCGCATGCGTTTACTCACGCGTGCGCGTCACAATGCGCCGAGGGTTTGCACTTCAGTGCTTTTCATTGGGTTTGTCTGTGTGTGTGTGTGTCTGTCCGTTACTCTCAATCTCACTTCTCGAATGTCTGTCCGTCTCACAAACGATACGACCTACTTAACGGGCAATGAAGGTCAGAAATTTGGAACGGTTTTCTCTGAAAATGCTCCGTTGCAAAGCTAGAGCGCTTCCACATTGTATGGCTAATGCCGGTAGTCGCCATTTTATCGCTGGCGGATAATGCGCATGCGCTTATATTTAGCAAAGAACCGGGTCCGCTTGCTCCTTCTATCTTGAAGGCACAAGAAGTCACAACGAATGGCGTGTATCGACTCTCGCGTGCTATCTACTACTGTAGCTGGCCCGTGTCAGACTCTCTACGAGCTACTTCGCCGAGGGTTTGCACTTTAGTGCTTTTCATTCTGTCTGTGTGTGTGTGTGTGTGTGTGTGTGTGTGTGTCGACGCTTATTCTGACACTACAGGCTACGAGGCAGCCTATTAGTGATACCAGCGGCTTCAGAACTACGCGAGCCTGAAAACTAAAAGGGCGATTTTCCTGAAACGACTGCGTTCGAGAGCGACAAACTGGCACGGTCGAGGACAGCGTTGCATGGCCCAACCCATCAATAATCAGTGCGCATGCGTATATTAGACGCCATCAAAACTGTATGCTGGCTCACCTCGATTTGATCCGCTTACCTTGGAGGCATAAGAAGCCACAGCGAAGGCATGTATCGACTCCCGCATGCTATCTACTACCATGGTTAGCCCGTGTCAGACTATCGTGCGCGAGCTATTAGGGGGAGACCACGAGTAAACGCATACAAATAGCCCAGCCCCATCGGTTTAGCACTATCGCGCATGCGCAGTTCGCCGAGGGTTTGCACTAGTGCTTTTCATTATGACTGAATCAGTTGTTATCTTTCATAATGTATTGCGGATTTGTTTCATTGTCACAGTTCAGACTGGGTTCAGAACGCCGGAGGATGGATGTATCCCAGAGGGTGCGTTGCAGGAGATCTGTCTGACTACTGTTGGATCTCCTGCAGTGGATACTGTGCTAACTGTCTCCGTCACTTATGGCACTGCTGGACCTGAAGGTAAAGACGCTTCGACTCTTAGCACAAGCTCAGTTTAAAGATGTGGTATGTTGTCATTAATATTTCTTTCCATGGTCTAGTACAAAACAAAGTGAACCTAGACTAATTCCCATATAATATACTGAGGGTTCCAGTAGTAGTTATGACCATGTACAGACTTCGATCTGATCACGACACAAGTGACCATCACTGAGACTGTGACTGAGCCATGTGTGAGATTCCAGGCCATAGCAGACGGTTTGGGACTGGAGGGAGTGGAGAACCTCACTCTGTCTCTGAGTGGGCCTCCCAATGTACAACTGACTAATGCCTCTCTACACTTCTGCATTCAGGACTCTGAAGGTAAACATTTGTCAAACATACACCGTAGAATGCTTACAAAGTGCACATATGTGTGGATACGTGCACGACTTCTTTTCAATGCACACTTTTCTACTCCTATAGAAACTAAAACTCTTGAATTTTAAATTGTCATAGTCGCCATTGAAGCATAAAAATGTGGTCAGATATGTGCCTCTCTCTCACCTTTCTCTCCCTCCTACTATCACTGAGGAGGAGGAGAAAGAGTGGAAGACAAAGGAGAGAAGTGACCCACTGCGAATTCTGTTGCAATGCCTTAATCTTCCTATTATTTCCAGCCATAAATTAAAACTGAGGGGGAATGAAGCTTTAAGAAAACGTTTTGTTTTTTGACCAGAGTATAATAATTGTTATTGGAAAACTGTTCTTTTCAATGTGCAGCGATGATAGGGTTTAACCAGGCAAGGTATGCAGTCATTGAGGGAGATTATAATGTGTGTGTCATAGTCTGGCATGGTCGATTGGCCAACAGTCTCACTGTTCACATCAATGTTCTCCCCACATCCACTGCCACAGGTTAGGGATCTATATTTTCTGCCTCCTGTGAGCTTCATGAGGCTGAGCAGCTTATTTCTCTTCGCAATGGAACCTCTGAATAATGGACACGGGACCAGGCATTTTGTCCTTTTAGGAAGGTTGTCCTCTCTAAAGTCTGAACGTTTGGGACCTCAAAATGTGTCCTTTTTTGGAGAAATGTGTCCTTTATCGGAGGTTCAAATGTAAATAGCTAATTGAACGGTTGTGAAACATATATTACTGCGATACACTCACTAGCTGACTTTACTTCATAGAAGTAACTTTGTATAATAGTGATTATGTATAATTATACCTACTATCTTTACATACTGGCAGAGGGGGAAGATTTCGAACTGAGTGACCCAGCAGAGATAGTCATTCCTGCCAAAATGACCAGGGGTTGCCTCGCAGTGACCATCCTACAGTCAGAAGTAGCGGAGGGAGAGGAGGAAATTAGACTGGCCATTGACTCCACAGCTGTCAATGCTACCATAATAACCGCTGAGACTATTATTATTGTCATTGCTCCAGATGAGGGTAAGACCTTTCATTACCCTCGCTGCGTATGTAGTTACCCTCGGCGCGCATGCGCCGCGAGGGTACTGTAGTTGGGTTTGTCTGTGTGTGTGTCTGTCTGTTACTCTCAATCTCACTTCTCGAATGTCTGTTCGTCTCACAAACGATACGACCTACTTAACGGGCAATGAAGGTCAGAAAAGTCGAACGGTTTTCTCTGAAAATACTCCGTTGCAAAGCTAGAGCGCTTCCACATTGTATGGCTAATGCCGGTAGTCGCCATTTTATCGCTGGCGGATAATTCGCATGCGCTTATATTTAGTAAAGGACCGGGTCCGCTTGCTCCTTCTATCTTGAAGGCAAAAAAAGTCACAACGAATGGCGTGTATCGACTCTCGCGTGCTATCTACTACTGTAGCTGGCCCGTGTCAGACTCTCTGCGAGCTAGTACTTCGCCGAGGGTTTGCACTTTCGTGCTTTTCATTGGGTCTGTCTGTCTGTTACTCTACATCTCACTTCTCGAGTGCTTGTTCGTCTCACAAAGGATATGACCTACTTAACAGGCTATGGCGGTCAGAAATTTCGAACGGTTTTCTATGAAACTACTCCGTTGCAAAGCTAGAGCGCGAAAAAGCCAATATGCAAATACTCTACGGACGAGACGGCTTACCGCGGTCTGATCGATCCGCGTGGTCTGCGTACCTCGGAGGCACCAGAAGATGCAACGCAGGGCGTGTATCGCCTCTGGCATGCTATCTAGTAGTGTAGTTAGCCGCGTCAGACTCTGCGCGAGCTGGCAAGAGACCACGAGTAACAGCTAAAACTAAACCCAGCCCATCAATTAGTGGTAGGGCGCATGCGTTTACTTACGCGTGCACGTCACAATGCGCCGAGGGTTTGCACGTCATTACCCTCGGCGCGCATGCGCAGCGAGGGTACTGTAGTTGGGTTTGTGTGTGTATCTGTCTGATACTCTCAATCTCACTTCTCGAGTGTCTGTTTGTCTCACAAAGGATACGACGTACTTAACGAGCAATGAAGGTCAGAAAATTCGAACAGTTTTCTCTGAAAATGGTCCGTTGCAGAGCTAGAGCGCTTCCACCATTGTACGGCTAATGCCAGTAGTCGCCATTTTATCGCTGCGGAAAATGCGCATGCGGTTATATGCTTACCTCGACCGGGCCCGCTTGCTCTGTGCGCACAACAAGTCACAACGAAGGCCGTGTATCGACTCCCGCATGCTATCTACTACTGTTGCTAGCCCCTGTCAGACTCTCCGCGAGCTACTAGCTGGAAACCACGAGTAAACGCAATAGGCCAGCCCATCAATTAGCGGTACCGCGCATGCACAGTTAGCCGAGGGTTTGCACTTTAGTGCTTTTCATTGGGTCTGTCTGTGTGTCTGTCTGTGTGTCTGTCTGTTACTCTACATCATCTGTTTGTTCATCTCACAAAGGATACGACCTACTTCGGGTAATGAAGGTCAGAAATTTTGAACGGTTTTCTACGGAAGCCCAGAAGGGTCACCGTTTCCACTCTGGAAAACTGCCGATTTCCACTCTAGAAACCTACCGGCTTCCATTCTGGGGGAACCCAACAGAAAAGAGAAAGTAGTTTAGAGAAGTAGAAATCTCGTAGTTTTCTCTGAAACTGCTCCGTTGCAAAGCTAGAGCGCGAAAAAGCTAATATGCAAATACACAACGGACGGGATTTGGCTTACCACAGTCTGATCGATCCGCGTGCTCTGCGTACCTCGGAGGCACAAGAAGGTGCAACGCAGGGCGTGTATCGCCTCTTGCATGCTATCTAGCTAGCCCGCGTCGGACTCTGCGCGAGCTGGCAAGAGACCACGAGTGACAGCTAAAACTAAACCCAGTCCATCAATTAGTGGCACGGCGCATGGCACGGCGCATGCGTTTACTTACACGTGCGTGTCGCAGTGCGCCGAGGGTCTGCACTTCAGTGCTTGTACCTGTGATGCACCATGAATGGACATGCAGCATTTTCAAGCAAAAATACTGAAAATCAATCAAGTTTGACACATTGCTCAAGCGAAGGTTCATCTGCAGGTTGGTAGGTATGCTAGTCATCAGGGAATTTGATAAACAGCTCACATTTTCAAATGGAGAAGTAAGAAAACAATGGAGAGGCTAAACAGCTTCACAACATACATAAAACACATTCACACAGACCGAGTTATTGTGCACCGCAAGTAACCTATATAAAACTAAACCCAGCCAATCAATTAGTGGTACGGCGCATGTGTTTGCTTACGCGTGCGCGTCATAATGCGCCGAGGGTTTGCACCTCAATGCTGCCTCCCCCCCCCTTACCATGTATACACCTCGCTGCCTACCTGGCATGAGATTTGGGGCCGGGATGTGCACCAGCAAAGAAAGCTTGTAATCTCACAACTCACCTTTTTAGAGACAGTCCCCATTTCGTGACAGAGTGCAGAGTACATATGTGTTATAAGAAACCCTTCTCTCGTTTGTACGTGCAGTTGTGGTAGTTGGATTCAGAGATACCAGCCTCACTGCCTCTGAGGGAGAGACTGTGAGGTTTGCGTTCCAGAAAGTCGGATTGTTTGACTCAGATATTAAGTTGCTACTAAGTGGAGAAGGGTTGTCTATAGGAGTTAGTTATAATGGCGCAATCAGAGTCATCAATATTTTTTTCTCTTACACTGCCCCCGACAATGATGTTGCTCTTGAGGATGACGTCACAATCATTATAACTTTTAATTTAAAGACAATCAGTCCTCGAATAATGATGTCTAACACTGCTCTCTCTATTGTTGTTCAGGATAATGACGGTGAGTTTATAACATTTCTTTAAGCGTCTAAACACTACATTCACTTGATGTATAGCATTTTTCCACTACACTTACTCATTTCAAAATGAGAATTCTAGTATAGTTACAGATTTCCATCAGGAAATGCGTTTGCATTATAATCTGTGGCCACATTTTGGCCTTCCAACTATGCACTTCCAATAAAGTGATCTTGTCATTTCACCAGGGCCAGTGAGGGTGGGTTTTGAATCAAATGGTGTGACAGTTGATGAGAATGGTGGTGATATAATGGTTCCAGTGAGTGTGATTCAACAGATAGCCACTACTGTGTCAGTGGACGTGGAAGTTGTCAGTGGTACATCTCTGGAACAAGAAGGTTAGTTTTAGTACATGTAACATAGCAGGTTTATGTAAGAATGTGATGCCACCATAAGAGTATTTTTTTTTCTTTATTAGATTATGTGAGGACGGGTCTGTTTCAGCTCAAGTTCCCCTCCAACGGAACATCTTTTGTGCCAGTTGGAATACTGGATGATGGGACCATTGAACTGACTGAGTCATTCACAGTTGTTCTGTCCAACCCCCAGCCTGCTGGTGGAGTGGAACTGGGGATCAGTGTTTTCACTGTCACCATTTCTGATGATGACCTGCGTGAGTCTCTCGTACCATAGCTCACCTTCTAGTCACAGTCGGTCACATTGGGCTGTTTGCTCATCTGTTTAGCATTAAACTACTAATAATTGTTAATTGCGAGTTTGGTTTGTTTGCATTATCTGAGGCCTGTAAAAGTGGGCTTTGACTATAAAACATGCACTTCCAAGTGGATAGTTCAGAGAGTGGAAGATTTATTAGAGTCTTAATGACTTTCCTATGTTCCACAATGACGTAAGGGATGAGGTTATGAGTGAGAGGTATCTTACTTCTCTCTCCAGGTATTGGTTTCGAGAGTATTGAGTACACAGTGGACGAGGGTGGCACACTGGAAGCAGTCGTGGTGAAATCTGCTCCGTTCGACTCTGTCATAGAATTCGAGGTGGCAGGGGGAAATTTCTCTGCCGTCAGGGCTTTCCCGGATGGAGCATCCAGTCCTGAATCCATATCAATATTTTTTCAAATCCCTGATGATGTCATTGCTCTGGAACCACCGGAAACGATATCATTTACACTGGCAGTTCTCGACCCAAATCCACAGATATCTGTCGACCCAGACACTACCACTGTCACCATACTCGACAATGATGGTGAGTTTGGAGTGTGGCTTTGTTGTGATAGCTACGATGATGAAGATCATTGGGCATTATGTGTGGTTCTGTTTTGAATTAATTACCTTCTCCCTCTAATTTGTCTTATATTATTAAAATTTCCCTGCAGTACTTGTGGGCTTCAAAGCTGACATTATCACGGTACCAGAGGATGCTGGCGATGTATTCATACCAGTCACCATCAGTCAGGACGTCCATGAGCCTATCACAGTCGACATACTATACCAGAATGGATCTGCCATGGAACAATCAGGTATATACAGTCATACAGTAAAGCATACAGTTTTTCCAGAGTGTTAGTCACGGCTCGTGATTTTCAAATGTTAGGACCTTTTTCGGTTATGCGTAATATAAGCGCTAGCACGGATAGCTTTCTTCACTGGGTTACCTGCAGCTCCTACATAGTTATCTATCTATTGCATTATGAACTCTCTCTTCCCCAAATGTATGATGTGTAGATTTCTTCATAACTGGTCCGTCAAGTCTAACATTCACATCAAATGGAACTCGGAATATTCTGATTTCCATTGCTGACGACACTGAAGATGAACCAGATGAGACATTCATCATAGCTCTAGTGTCGGGAGCCACTGTCATTGTCTTCCCTGACACCATCACCATAACCATCATTGACAATGATGATGAAACACCAACTGGTAAGCAAGTACATACTCCAGGCCCAGGCTAATAGACCTACTAGCAAAAAGTTAAATCACGTAGTCTTTGACTCAGTAGAATTATATGCAATTGCAAAGTGTAAAGCACTGTTTATGTTAGTACTGAATACACTTTTGTTTCGAATAGGAGATAAAAATCCGCCTGTGATCATCATCATAGTAACTGTTGTGATAGCCGTGCTAGCCGTGCTACTGATTGCTGCAATCATCATCATAACAATTCTCATTGGAATTATGAGGCAGAGGAAGAAGAGGCAAAGTAAACTTGCTCTCCCAACTCCAGAGCCCATCTATGATGATCCAGATTCATACTATTCTTCTGTCCTTGACAAAACCGAAAATAAAGCAAGTACCGAGATTTCACTGCAGCCACAGCCAGAAAATTTAGCCATTCCTAACCAGCAGCAGGAAAATATTACTTCCCCTATTGAGCAGCAAGAGAATGTTGCCTATGGTGCTCTTTCGAACCAGCAGCAGGAAAATGTTACTTCCCCTATTGAGCAGCAAGAGAATGTTGCCTATGGTGCTCTTTCGAGCCAGCAACAAGAAAATGTTACTTCGCCTATTACGCAGCAATTACCTGGTGATCAGGCTGAGGAGCAATGCTAAAGACTATGAGATTAATATGGATTATGTGAATCATACTGAGTAGCTTTAAACGTTATAGCATATTTTCTTCAACTTATGGCGTGCATTACTACTGTAAGGATCTTATTGTAGCGAAGGTTCGCGTTAATAATAATGATCTCAAACTTCCAACTCAGTACAAGCAGTATAATGCACGTGCGTTGCCTGCCACTAGACGGCAGGTTAATAACATTCTTTTTTAGTGCACCTCTTCTTGCTCTTACCAAAATGTCCCATTTTTACACTCATACTTGCTGTTTGTTTCAATGTACTTGCCTGCCCTTCTTTAGTTACACCTCTTCCCCATTTGTACAAGAACGTCAAATCAGACACAACGACGGAAGAGATTTCTGATTTGTTTTCCGTCTACGGACGAGTGTTTGACGTGCAGAAGCATCCAAACAGATGCAGTGCTGCCTTTGTGGTGAGTGCCCCATAGTCCCATACATACATTAACTTGCCCCGGAATAAACAACTTCCTGTAGTTCTTTTATGTAAAGTGAATAATACTGTAGGGGAGGCAAAAGTCACTGCGCATGCGTGCCGAGGGTTAGTAGCGCGGAAAATTGCATGTACCTAGTTGCTATGAACTTAAGAGTAGTCATTGTGAGATGTTCAGTTTTGTATGTCTCCTGCAGTACATGTGTCAGGAGGGAGGCAACAAGGCCATTTCCAGCCTCAATGGCTTCACCTCCAACCAGACCAGCAAACCACTCATTGTCGAGCTCAGCCATGAGGTAGAGTAAAGAACTGTGTGTGTATACAGTGGAACCTCCGAACAAGGGACACTGTGGGCCACGATTTTGTCCTTGTAGAGAGGTCATCCCTATCTTGGAGGTCAAAATTGCATAGGGTGGGACATGTAGAGAAGTCGTCCCTATCTCGGAGGTCACTTATCGGAGGTCCAACTCTTCTTTTTCTCGCCATTATACTTGCACATCTTTGCAAGCAACCAGATTTTATGTTTCTCTCTCTCTCTTTCCCTACTCCAGCCAACAGAGCAGTCTCACTAAAAGTCTGATCCAAACAGCTATTAACTCAGACCAACCAGCCATGCAGGATTGTAGTTACTCACATAATCAACTACCCCACCTAAGAAAACTCAGTTCATTGTCATTGCACATTGCAATCATCATCATAAATAATTATTATTGATCACTTGTCAGCAGAATCACTTGCTTCATCAAAGAGACAATTTTACTTTGTGATTTTAAAAAGCTCTCTGATTTTTTTCACAATCACTTCAGGTTGCGCGCATGCTCTTAGCTGACGAGTCTTACGTACGGACTGCATGCGCATGCGTGATGTGTTTTTCTGGTGCTGCCGGAGCGTTCCGAGTCTGCTGCGAGGAGTGACACTTTCTGGCAGTAATGCCACTAACTCTTTGTCCACGCGAACTGCCCTCCTTTTTCTAGACTTCCTTCATGCAAGGTATGGCAAACTAATAATTCAGTGTAGTATGCTGGCTTAGCTTCACTGTGACGATTGCGTGCTGTTATTCAGTGCACTACGTACAGCTATTGCGACCTACGGATCACTATAGCTAAAGGTTTCTTTTCCAGTCGCCACTGTCCTCCGCTGCTGTGTTAGTTCCAAGCTACACGTGTGACGCAGGAAATTATGTAACTGAATGGGAGGGCTACGACTAGTCTGTTTTCGCAGCACTACATAGCAGTACTATCGCAAAGTGTATTACATCACAGTATGTATACACAAGAGACCAGGTCTATCCACTAACACAGGCTCTGCACAGACTGTGCCGTGCTTCACTGGACTTCGTTGTGGTTCTGGTAGTGTTGGGGAACAGGTTTCAATATTGGCCTGCTGTAGCATTGCTGATACACTCTCATTCAGACGTGTTTTCATGGACGAAGTGTCACTGCAGTTGGTCCCAGTCACAGTTAATGTCACTCTATCCAGTGATGGTATAGGAGGAGAAGGAACTGAAGTCATTGTACTCACTCTAGTCCAGCTTCCACCAATTAAAGAAAATCGTGTTCTCGTCAACCCAACTGTCAGGATCACTGTCGAAGATAATGACAGTATGTATAATAGTAAAAATGTATCACATTGTAGTAGTGGGAAATTCACATTGTGATAATGCACACACCTACATAGAACCTTGTTCACAATCCTATCACCACTGTTTCATACGTTCCAGATTAGAGATAATAGCCAAAGAGTACGTCGTCTTCTATTCTATCTTATCATTTTTCTTCTTTCTTTCTCTGTATAGCGTGAGCTGCTAGTCTACATAGGGTCCAGGTTAATATCATACCAAGGTGCATCCAAAACATATGACAATATGTGGGATATTCTACAATGTGGGTGTGTATACTGTGCATACTGAGGGTGTGTATATTACAGGTGTAACCAATGTGTATACTGTGACCCAGATTGCCCACAATGCAGTTTATTTAGCTAGCTAATCAATCTAGGCTGTTTACATAAGCTAATGCAGCCAGGTCTAGAATCAAAACTCCAGCCCTAGGTTGCAGAATGCCTAATTACACTGCTCAATAATGACAATACGGGGAAAAACCAAAATTGCTCAATTTTTCTAAGGTAATAGGTGACATTATCCATATTCTATAAAACGGAGTAAAATGTATGGGAAAGCATAGGAAATGGTTTTGGATTTCAGGTTTGTACTTTTTAAGGTGACAGGTTTTGTGCGATATCGGAGTGTTCTGTGTGTATGTTTCTGCCTTGTGTCAGAGTGTCGTTTTTTCGAGCCCCAACTTTGGCTAAACATAACAACCCTGCAGCTTGCTTTTTCGTAAAACGTTTTCTTTCCTTGAAAGTATTTTGTGCAAACCCCAGTGCATATTGTGAAGGCACACTGCTTAGCAGATTTGGCCACTGCACCATCATTAAAAGGTCCCTTTGGGTAGCACAATGACAGTGCACAAAGCAGAAGACCATCATTCACTATTTTACTAAGATGCAGTAGTGGGCAAATAAAGAGCAAAGATGAGTGGTTTGCCCCTGCCTCCACTCTGTTTTGATATATAGCTAATAGTAACCCTTCTACCCTGTACTCTTGCCACGCTATCCTATAAGAAAAGCTTAGTAAGTCAAGAGTTTAAGGGGAAGATCCAGTAAACCCTTGTCAAGCCCACATATCCAATGGGCAGACAAGCAAGTAGGTCTTTAGGGATAATACTGCCACAATTTCTATAACTAGAATGAATGCAATGCATTTGTTGACGAGTGAAGTGCAGAGCAGCTTAATAATTATGGCGCGTGTTTAGAAACATCAGACGCTCTATATAGGGATGGCACGGGTGAAATCTCTTGTGATCCGTGTACAAAACACCTCAAAACTCCGTAAGAATAACTCTTCTAAACACACCAGCAACAACTAGTATCGGGCCCATCTCTAGCTATACATAAGCCTAAAGCGTCCATACATGCCTTCAGTTTGGCACGCAAGAATCCGCTCATACGCGAGTTCATGATTTTCGTGTCATCACAATATTCTTCTTCTTCTTGAAACTTGGTACGCATGTGTATTACATCGTTTCCATGACAACCACAACAACAAATAGCCTGAGTTCATCTCTATGGTAGATCATGTGGGCTCTTACAACGGTAAGACACTAACACGCCATTTGCTGGCTACTCAGCATGAACGGTGGGGGAGTTGTCTGTGTGTGTGTATGAAGTGCGGTGCGCGCGGTGAACAGTTGCTAACTTTCCTACATCTCCTTAGTGTTGCGGCTAGCTTTGCCCAAATTAATAAAATGAGTGGAACAAGTGGAAAAATAATTTCTATAAATGAAGGGGCATGTAGGGATGTCAAGTCATTAAAAAGGAAGGGAACAAGAAGATGCCTACACCAAGACAGATAACTAGTCATTCATAACCCCATCCCTACATCCTTGTTTCTTTCAAGATCTGCAGTTCATGTACACATCTGGATGTTATGAGGTTTTTGATTGCCTAATGCATTCATGACTAGCACACATTTCTGAAAAAACCAAAGATGTAAGGAGCATACTGTGTGCATCACAAATGACGGTGGTAAAACCGTATTATGTGACCTATTATGTAGCAATCTTCTGCTTTTCTTTAGACCCGTTTGTCGTTGCATTTGTGGACACGATGTACACTGTTCCTGAGAGCATAGCGTCAATGACTGTCTGTGTCAATCTGACTCAACCGCAAATTGACATTCTCGATGAAACTGTCAATGTGTTTGTCATGGATAACCCCAGCTCAGTCTACATCCCGGCCGATGCCCCTCTGGCTAGTGAGTCAGAGTACATTTTGAATACTGCTTTTTTCTCCGTATGTAGTTCTTCTCCCTGCTGCACCACCAAGTATCTCACATTTGTTAGAGCGCTCTGCCTAGACAAGGATGTAAAGAAGGGTTTCGAATTCCACCCAAGGCAGCAATTTTTATTTCAAACAAAAGAGCTATCCTGGGAGCAAGTGTGTTGCTTGCCTTTTCTTTATATTTTCCTTCCCTTGTTTCGGATATCTACACAGTGAACAGTGATCTATTTTCTCCAGCTCCTGATCCTCCAGACTTTCTGAGTCGGTACACAATGATAGAGGGATCTGACTATGCCCAGCAGACCAGCGCTGTCAATGTCATTGACGATACTCTGATTACAGAGTTGATGAGAATTGTTTGCTACAGTCAACCCATCTATGATGACCTACGTTTGGAGCTGGATGAATATGCAGGTCTCAGTCTTGGAGTGAAGGACAATCAACTCACCACAGTCCTCACAACAGTTCAACCAATATACGACCAGGCCTCGATCCGTATTGTGGATGATGACAGTGAGTTCATTGATGGGGCTTCCCCCATTGCCTGCAACTGATATTATTGTTATGGACTTGTCCTACAAAATGTTTAATGCAAGGAAGTTGTGGCAAGTATTAGAACCTAGACTAAAGACAGAATTATCGAAACAATTTTGCTGCCTTCGCAAAGATGAATTGGCAAAGGCACTGCCATTATTAAATTTGCAGCTCAATATA